TCCCAGTACTACATTTAGGAGGAGAGTGGACAGGCTTGTCTGTTTTTTCATCCTGGGGTTGAACCCAGGTTGCTCCACTACTGAGCACATCCTCAGCCATTTGTATTTTATATTTTGAGACAGGGTCTCGCTAAGTGGCCCAGCCTGGTCTTGAACTTGCAGTCCTCCTGCCTCAGCCTCCTGAGTAGCTAGGAATCCAGGCATGTGCCACTGCGCCTGGCCATGGCCACTCCATATTTCTAAGCAGCTGGTCTCCTGTGGTGACAGACGGACACTTTCCATTGTTCATTCCCCAGGGTACTAACCTATTTTAGCTTTTTTGCTGCTATAACTAAAGGACCCGACCAGAGCTGCTGTAAAGTAGGAAAGGTTTATTTAGGGGCTCACAGTTTCAGAGGTCTCAGTCCATAAGAGGCTGGCTCCATTCCTTGGGCTCGAGGTGAGGCTGAGCATCAGGGCGAAAGAGTGTGGCAGTGGGAAGCAGCTCACGTGACGATCAGAAGCAGAGAGAGACTCTACTCATCAGAGACAAATATATATCTCAAGCCCCACCCCGATGCCCCCTCCTCCACCACACCCACCACCTCAGTTTCCACTCAGTTCATCCCTAACAGGATTAATTCACTGAGTGGGTCAAGCCTCTCACAGCCGAATCATTTCTCCTCCAAACCTACTTGTGTTGTCTCCCACGTGAGCTTTTGGGGGCACCACGTCTAAACCACATCATGAACCTTTCGAGCCGTCTATTGCCTGGTGCCGTAGGTGGGTTCTGCTGAGGCCCAGAAACTGGTGGCTGTAGCCTGCGGTTGGGAGCAAGGCCAGCGGGGAGGGCGAGGGGGGAGATGACCTCGTGTGCTCTCCCCTACTGACTCAACGTCCACTGGCTTCCCGGGAAAACCAGTGGCTCTTGCCAGGGCAGGATTCATGACCTATTCCCCAATCTGAGGACGAATGAGATGAAGAGGGTGGGAGAAGGGGACCCAGAGCATGTCCCTTCCCAGAATGGTGTGGCCCTGGACTTGGCCTGTTAGTAGCAACTGATGCCAATGTGGTCAGGCTGCTGGGACCGCCAGGAGTGTCGGTGGGGATAGACTGCTGGTCACTCGGGAGCTCACGCTGATGAGGGGTGTCTGCCGTGGTCGCAGCTCCAGGAGTGTTTGCCGACTCTGCAGGAGCCGGAGCCTAGGAGTCTTGTGCAGAGCCGAGACGGGGGTATGTTGTGAGACACCGATTTGGTGCCCACAGTGGCCCTGGCACCGGGAGCAAAGCAGACAAGGGCAGCCCAGCAGTCCAATGCTGAGAGGCCTGGAGAGGCTGCAGGTGGGCATGGACCTGGACCAGGCAGCAGGAAGTGCCAGGCAAGGTGGCTCCGTGTCAGACGAGCAGAGAGTGTCCTGGCCTCGCGCTCGTTCATCTGTGTGCTCGTTCAAATGAGCACCTAGTGTATACTCGGGTCCCACACTCAGCAACAAGGTCCTGGGTTATCTGAGACTTATTTTGTGCTCAGGAGAGACGCAGGGCAAGGGAGAGGTGGGGTGTGGGACACTCTCTGCAGCAGGTCACATCGGTCCTGGAGCTGATGCCTTGGGGTCTGAGTCCTGGACATGTCACTGTGGCCAAGAGACATTCTGCCACCTCAGATGCAGAGTGGGCAGTCGTGGCACCCATGTCCGGGGCTGCCTTGGGCATGTAATAAAGCATTCATGTGACACATGGTTTAAGTGCCTGCTCTTGGCTCCCACCATGACCGTCATCGCCCCTGTGACTGTTTTAGAACACAGATAAGAAGGGGACAGGGTGTGGGTATAGAAACATGAGCAGCCAGAGGAGGTAGAGCTCAAAAATTCCCAGCACGTGGGGCTCAGAGCCCAGAGGGAGGCTCCGTGGTGGACTTCCTGTCTACCTGTCTAGGCCTTGGTATCCTGGTATTGGTCAACTTGAGTGTGGGTGGTGCTGGGAGGCATTGTTCAGACGCCACTAGCCTTTAATCAGTAGGCTTTAAATAAAAGAGATCACCCTCATGGTAATATAGATCGGCCTCCTGCAAAAGATGGATTCACCCCTGCCCCAGAGGAGGGGATTCTACCTTTGAGGCTGCCCTTGGACTTGAGCTACAGCCTGCAGACTTCCCTGGTCTCCAGCCTGCCAGCCCAGGAGCTGGTTCCTTACAGGCCTCTGTCTTTCTCCATGTGACATGTAGCATGTTAAATATGTGTACTATGCATTACACATGGATGATACCTGATACATACTAAACACGTGTTCTATGTCACACTTATAGGAAACAGACATATGTTAAATAAGCTTGTTTTGTGTGTATTCCTACTGCCTGCTTCTCCGGAGCACCCTGCCTTACGCCAGGGCCCTGGGCCGCTCCCCTGGTGAAATCCTCTCACTCCCCCAAGATGTGTCCCCTTTCCCTGCTCTCAGGCAAGGATGCTGGGTGGGGTCCCTGGGATGAGGGAGTTGAGGAGCGGTAACCGGCCTCCAGTTTGGCCTGGAGGAAGCCTTCGCCCACTTGGACGTGACTCCCGCTCCAAGGGCGTCAGGTCCTGGCCAGCAGGCGTACATCTGGCAAGTACATGGTCCCTAGACCTGAAGACATCCAAACATCTGGGTTGCTGTTAGCAACGCGCTGACCTCACACATAGCTGTGGCTTAGGCAGACCAGTGCGAGAGGCAGCCCCTCCAAGTCCGAGGGGTCATCTGTGGCCATCTGGACTCTCCTGCCATAGAGGGGACTCTTGGAGGGTCATCAAACCCAGCCTGACACTGAGAAGGAGACCTTTCAGCCACACCTCAGGGGCCATCTCTCCTTGTGCCCCCACACACCCGGATGGCTTTACCCTGCCCTGCAGGGCCTCAGGAGCAGACTCCGGGTCTGTGAGCTCCAACAGCAGGGGCACCTGGCTAGGACGGAAGGTCAGGCCTACCAGGGTGGGGCATGGGGACCAGGAAAGCTGGGGTGTCACAGTGGTCTTTGGCTATGTCCACCCCTGGCCACAGGTGGGGTCTCAGGGTCTAACAGGCCTCTCCTGGGGTGGCCGTGAGCTCTGAGGAACCTTCCATGGATGCTCTGGAGTGAATATGGTGAGAAATTGGCCTGGGGAAGATGTCCTGAGGAGGGGTGGTGGCTGGAGTATTCTGTGGGCCTCATTGCTCCAAAGAGCCTTAGACCACCCCCCTCCATAGCTGTTGGCACTGACCTGAATGTTCCAGAACCATCTATGTCACCTCCTCCCAGCTCAGGAAGAGCTGCGTGGGCCGTGCCTGCTGTTACTTCTCTAACTGTTCAAAGAGTCTCACCCCAGAGATGGCAAATCTTGACCTTTTCCTCCTCAGTGTTGGAAGTTTCACGGAATGTCTTTTCTTGACCCCATTTCCAATAAGTGACTACTTCAAAGAGGAGGGGATTCTAGTTTTCATTGCTTACTGTCCACGGCATAAGCCAGGGAAGGAGCCGGGTCTAGAAGGCACGGAAATGTTTTGCGGGGATCTCTTTAGGGAGAAGAGTAGAGGGACCCAGAAGAGGCCGGAGGAGTCAGACCCGATGTGGCAGCTTCAAGCCTTCCAGGTGCAGTCCCCTCCAGGTGTGCAGTCCTCCCTGGCCAGGGGTTGACCTCGGCCTGTCCACAGCCCTGGTGAGCTTTCCCACCAGGGTAGGGGTGGCACTGAAGGAAGTGACTTGCTCCCATCGCAGCTCTTCTTGGCTCAGAGAGATGGAGGCAGGGGCATGGGAGGGAGGGGAGCAGAATCAAGGCTGAGGGTTGCCCTGCTCTGTGACAGGTACCATGGCCATGCCAGCCTAGAGGAGGAGAGCAGAGGCCAGGCCTGAGTCGCTGGCACACGTGAACAAGAGGACACTGAGCCTTGTGCACGTGCGTCCCACTGAGAGCTGGAACCCAATGAAACGCTCACAGATTGTGGTCCTAGGACACAATCTTTGTTTTGATGTTGTTCCTGTTTTGCACTTGGTTTAGCCAAAAGGCTGAGGTGTGGCATTTTTCTTTGTTTCTGAATTGTTTTGCAGGGAATATGCTGTCATTGTAGGATCTAGCAAGATGATAAAGTTTGAAAGGGGAAACACTTGGATTCTCAGTCCCCCTCCTGCGACCTCATTTTTCTCCCTTGCAGAGGGACTCAGTTCCACCCGTGCCCATGCTAAGCTCAGGTGGCAGATTCTGAGCTGGCTCTGATGGCTGGCCCTTGGGGACCAGGGACCTGCCTGTTAGGAGCTGCTGCTGCACAGTCCCCCAGACCCCCTGTGGAAGGCACTCATTCTCTGCTTCCCTGGCGCCTGGCCCTGAGCCTGGCATGCTGGCCTCCCCAGAGCACCAGGGACCTTCCTTGTACCACGCTGGCCGTGTTAGCATCGTCCTGGGAGATCCTGAGGCCCTGGACTTCCCTCAGCGAGGTGGCCTGCAGCCCTTCCATCTCCCCGCTCGCCTGGGTGCTGCCCGAGTTTGCTTGGTCATGAAGGTTTTAATATTTTCCAGTTGCAACCAGGGACATGAGTGTGTCTCACCCCTAATGTCCATCTCTGGGAAAGCAGCTGGTTTCCCTAGAAACAGCTGTGCCTGGAGCCAGGGGCACTGAGGTTGCAGACACTGGCTGGCCCCTTCCCTCCACCCGATCCCCTTCTTCCGTCAGGTTTTGGAGCCTACCCCACCACCCAGTCTGGGCAGCTGCCTGCTCTTCCCGGCAGAGCCCTTGGCATTGAGTTCTCTCTGCTTCAAGACGGAGTTCTTCCATGTCCACCAGGACAGCTAAGGCCCACAGAGCCCTCTCCCAGCTGTCAGGGCCCTGGGCAGCTGTGGAATTCATGGTGAAGATGTTTCCTCCACCGCTTCCCTGCCCCCACCGTCCGACCTCAGTGCACACAGGGTTGACCCCGCTGTGGGACACTGAGGTGCAAGCATTTCACTCCCTCGTGCAAATTCATCAATAAGACCATTCATCACACAGGGGCATGTGAGAACCAAAGAGACCGCCCACTGGGCATGGGGACTGGGCTAGAAGTTGCAGGAGCAGGGGACAGCTCTGCTGCTCCTTGGCTACACCCACCTGGGCCAAGTCACTTGATTCTTAGCCTCCCCGTCTTCATCTACAAGAAGGAGACAAACATCATCACAATAACAAACTCCAGTGGAGACTGTCTTCTCCCAGGGTTGCGCCAGCTCGTGGCTGCCGGTGTTTCTGCAAGAACTCAGGTGTTCTCCCCTGTGAGGCACTTCACCAACAGGACTGACACACAGCCATGGAAGCACCTACGAAGCAGTCCTGTTTTCTGTGGGAGGGAGGAGGTGTGGGAACTCGGACTGGGTAGGTCTCCCTGCTGGGCAGGTAGGGATGGCAGGAGGTCCCTGCCAGTGCCCCCAGGCCCGGCGTGGGAAGGACTGGGGGTTGGGGGAGGAAAACAAACACAACTTCAATTCCAGGCAAGGCTGTGGGGCTGTGCCTCTGAGGCCCTGGTGTGGTGGGGCCAGGAGCCCCCGTGGATTAATGAGTTCCAGGGGCAGTTGGCAACACAACTTTGACAAAAGCGTCCATTGAAACCGGCCATGAGTCATCTGCTTGGTGAGAGCAGCGGGGTGCAGGGGCCTGGCAGCCTCGCAGCCTCCCTGGGAGAGCAGACGTGGCTATGTCCACGTGGCCACCGTGGTGGCGTCCAGTGGGCGAGGGTGGCAGCCTCCCAGGCAGCAGAGGCCTCGTGCCTCAGTTTCCCAACGGTGCCGCTGGCTTTGAGACAATTTCCCTCAAATCATAAAACTAATACTCTATGGACAAAAAATCAGTATAAGAAAAATAAAACTCAACACATAAATTTGTCCCTAAGGATATCCTTGATCTTCATCTTGACCTAGCTCCTTTCTTCCCAGCAGGTGACACAAGTCAGGTCACATGAAGCTGTGCCCCAGCTGCGTGTGCACAACCTTAGAAGCCACTGGCCCTGGATGCCAGGTCCCCCACCCACTCACCCAACTCGACCTCCCCTCTCCCTCCCACGTCCTGGCACTTAAAGGCAATTGAGATTAGAGACTCTGGGATTTTTATCATTGGACATGATGCTTACCTTGCTTTAGGAGTCTATCGATGACAAGCACAGTTCTCAATTTTTCCTTTTTTTTTTTTTTTGGCCCTTAAAAAATCATCAGAATTGGCCAGAGATGGTGGCTGGCGCATACCTGTAATCACAGAGGCTCAGGAGGCTGAAGCAGGTAGATCCTGAGTTCAAAGCCAGCCCCAGCAACTTAGCAAGGCTCTAAGCAACCCTGCAAGACTCTGTCTCAAAATAAAAATTTTAAAAAGGGCCGGGGATGTGGCTCAGTGGTTAAGTACTTGGGTGCAATCCTGGTACAAAAAGAAAAAGGAAATTATCAGAGCTGGTCGTTGACTTTTCAATACTTTAACTGTATTGAGCTTTTTTCTTATTTTCCCTGGTACACTCGTGTGCATGTACACACACACACAAGCAGATGCATCAATACTGTTTTTGTGGTACTGGAACTTGAACCTAGGGGCTTGCACATGCTAGGCAGGCACTCTACCACTGAGCTACAATCTCAGCCCTTTTCATTGTTTTGAGACAGGGAGGGCCTTGTGAAGTTGCTGAGGCTGGCCTGGAATTTGTGATCCTCCTGCCTCAGCCTCACCAACCACTGAGATTACAGGTGCGAGAGGGCCCTCATTTGTTTTTTTTTTTTTTTTTTGTTTTGTTTTGTTTTGTTTTTTGAGAGGTGAACTGGACTATGATATACGTGCATGGGGCTGTCCTCTGGTGACATAACCAGGCAGATGTTGCCGTGGGGCTGGAGCGCTGGGCAGAGAGGGCATTTCAGGAGACCACTTCCAAATGGTGCTTAATAAGAGAGGTTTGGACCCTGTGTTTGGGGATGTCTGGAAGCCCAGAGCCAGCGCGTGGGTCTGAGCCTGTCCTGATGCGGGGTGGGCTCTTCTCTCCCCAGAACTGTCTCAGCAAACAGCAGCTCCTCTCGGCCATCCGCCAGCTGCAGCAGCTGCTGAAGGGCCAGGAGACCCGCTTCGCGGAGGGCATCCGCCACATGAAGAGCCGACTGGCCGCGCTGCAGAACTCTGTGAGCAGGGTGGCCTCGGATGCGCCCCCAGGTGGGTCACCGTGTTAGCATTGCTGGGGCCTAAACCCACTCGAGCGGCCCGCAGTTCTGTCCCCAGCCCAGGTCACCCCTGCAGGAAGCCCTGGACGGCCCTCCCTCCTCCCTGCCTCCATTTCCATCAGAGGGCACATGTTAACCCTGGCTGGTGTGCCTCTGTGTGTGAGTGTGTGTGTGTATGTGTGTGTGTGTGTGTGTGTGTGCGCGCGCGCGCGCACGCATTAAAACGGCGCCTACTGTCTCCCCCACCTGTCACCCTCTTTCCTCTTACACCTTCATTCTGGGCTACACAGCCATCATGGTCCCTATGATCCTGCAGAACTGCCATAGCAGTTGCTCAATAAATGTGGGTGGCATCAATGAATGGATTCCAATTAGTTAGAAATCAATCGTCAATCACGTCTCCACTTTCCTGTCCCTACCCAGTGGGACAGCAATGAGCTTGTCATTTAACAAACTTTTTTTTTTTTTTTTTTTTTAAGTACTCTTAATGGAACTAAGGGCCTTGCACATGCGCGGCAAGCGCTCTACCGCTGAGCTTTACTCCCCATCCTTAAAGGGCTGTTTTTTAGGGCAGTTTTAAGTTCACGGCAAAACTCCTGGGAAAGCGCCAGAGCGCAGGCGCACGCCCCACCCTGTGCTGGCAGCCCGCAGCCCGTAGGCTCCGCTGCGCTGTGCGGGAGACGGAGGATCGTTCCGTGTGTTCAGGCGTGAAAAGCATCCTCCAGGGATGTTCCAATGCGGGGAGGCGGGGAGAGTCCCGCTTGTCGAGGTTGCAGCGCGGCCCGAGGCCCCTCTGCAGGGGACAGCTCCGACCGCACAGGGGCGCCTTCCCCTGGTTGACCCTGCGGGCGGGCGCGCTGGACGCGGGTGGGTGCTTTCCTCTGGCTCCAGGTCCTGGGGCGGGCGGGGACCGAGCCTAGGGCCTGACCGCACCTGCTCACCGCAGACACACCATCGGGGCGTTCTTTGCCGTGGAGACGGTTTCCTGGGCCGCTACTTTACAGAGGTTGTGGTGGCAAATCCAGAGGCTCAGCGCGGAGCCCCCTCCTTCTTCCCTTGGCTGCGCTCAACCTGCCAATCAAAACACCCTTCCAAGGCAGGTGAGGCCCCCAGCCCTCAGTGGGGTTCCACACACCAACTCCAAGGGGCAGGCAGGGCGTCCTTCTCCCTACAGGCCAAGAGAAATGGGTTAGCAGCCTCGGGCCCTTGATCCAGTGATTCTATTTTCTCCTGTTAAAGGCTGGACTCCACAGAGCCTGTTCCACGGGATTGCAGAGAACTGCCCGCAGGGAACCCTATAGCGCGCCCTGCCTGTGTCCCAGGCCCCTGTCCACCAGACTCAAGGAGAGGCAGTGCTCATGATATCACTGGTCCTCTCATCTCCAGCTTGAGGCTTTCTTCCCTGAGCCAGGTTAGGTGTTTTTAAAAGTGGCAAGTTCTCTTTTTAAAAAGTGCCCACCGTGTACTGTGCCTCACAAGAGGTGCTGGACACAGTGCTGGGTGCGTCACAGGGGTCCAGCCCCGGACAATCCTATCAGGTTGTCGTGAGGTCCCTGGGCCTCAGGAAGGCCAGACATTGCCCCAGATCAAATGGCCAGTAGTGGGGAAATTATCTTCTGCTTTGTTGTGGGGGCAGGGGCATTTGCTGGGGGTGACCAAGAATAATTGTTGGTCTTCCTGTTTCTGGCACCAGGCCCTGTGTCTCCCTGTCCCCAAGCTGCTGATCTCATTCCTTACACACTAACCTCATTCCAAAAGGTGCAGGGAATTCATGTGGCCCCAAGTACTCACCAGGACATGCTCATAAAGTGGATCCACCCAGGGGTTCCTCCTCATCCTCCACTAGAGCGTTGGCCTTCAGCTGTCTTTGGGGATGTGATTGATGATTGATTTCTAACTAATTGGAATCCATTCATTCATGCCACCCACATTCATTGAGCAACTGTTATGTGCCAGATACTATTCAAGCTATCTAGGTACAATTACTTGTGTTGCCCCTACAAGTGATTTTTCTTTCTTGAGGGTTTTTGTTTTGCTCTTGGGTTTTTTGTTTGTTTGTTTTTTCAGTACTGGGCATTGAACCCAGAGGCTCTTTACCACTGAGTTACACCTCCACCCATTTTTTAAAATATTTATTTTTAGGTGTAGATGGACACAACACAATGCTTTTATTTTTTTATGTGGTGCTGAGGATCGAACCCGGGTCCTGCCCGTGCTAGGCGAGCACTCTACCACTGAGCCACCATCCCAGCCCCAACCCCCCACCCATTTTTATTCTTTACTTTGAGACAGAGTCTCAGTAAGTCGCCCAAGCTGGCCTTCAGCCTGAGATTCTCCTGCCTCAGCCTCCCAAGTCACTGGGATGACAGGCGTGTACTATCATGTCTGGCTCTTTCTTGAGGTTTTTAAATATTTCTTCTTCCCAAAGAGACCCTATTCCTTTCCCCCTACAGTATTTTAAACTTTGTCAGCATGATAAAGTTATTTAAAAATAACTATGGAGTCACCTATCTCAGGCTCTGGGCAGCGCCCTGTGGGCCTGCCTGCCTCTGGATGTGAGCTCCCTCCTGCTTCAGGAACTCCCCATTAACAAGAACCCCTGAGAGCTTCAGGGATCAGCTCCTGCCCTCCTGCCCCTCCAGGCTGCCCTGGCTGCCCCGTGGAGAACCCTTGCTGAGTCTGGCTGGGGTGGAGTATCAGGGCATAGTGCGGTGGCAAGCGTGATGCCCTCTGGGCCTCTTGAGGGCTGGGTTTTGTCTGTCTTGGTTGCAAGTGGCAAGTTCTCTTTTTAAAAAGTGCGTTTTACCTGGGGACGCAGGGAGAGCCCAACACATGATGTGTCATTCATCTGCTTGTTCAAGAACCATTTATAGGTCATTCACTAAGCGCCAGGTATAGGGCTGGTGCTGGGGACACAGCAGGGCCCAGGCCAGACTGCACCCGACAGAGAATACTAATCCCAAGGTGGAGACAACCCGGCCAGCAAGGATGTTCAAATGGTTGCAAATCTAAGAAGAAAGTCAGGGAGCTGTGGGGCGATGTGCCCTAGAGGTCTCGGCTGGCCATGGTGGCCGGGGAGCACTCACTCTGGGAGGTTCTAGCATTTGAGTAGAGACCTGAAAAGCAAGAAGGGGCCAGCTGGGAGAAGTTCTGGGGAACATTTCAGGCAGAGAAGACAAAAGCCGAGGCCGGGAGATGTCCTGAACCTAGCCTGTTCAGGACACTTAAAGAACCCTAGTGAAGCCAGGGCTGGTGGTGGACACCTGTAATTCCAGTGACTTGGGAGGCTGGGGCAGGAGGATCACAAGTTCAAGGCCAGCCTCAGCAACTTAGCGTGGCTCTAAGCAATTTAGGGAGACCCTGTCTCAAAAATGTCTGGGGATGTGGCTCAGTGGTTAAGCACCCCTGGATTCAATCCTCAGTACCAAAAAGAAAAAAATAAATAAAAGAAAAAGAAAGAAACCCAGGGGGCTAGAGCTCCCAGAAAGCAGAGCCAGTAAGTGGCAGCGAGAGGGCGGGGCAACCACGACAGGGCGGAGTTCGCCCCCTCTGAGGCTCCCACTTGGTGTTGCTGAGCCTTTCATCAAGCAGACACCCCAAGAGCCCCTGAGGACTGGGTGAGAGGTGTGTCCTGCATGGCACAGCCTACAGCGGGACTCACAGAGGTCCACCTCTGTAAGCCAGGAAGCCGACTGTGGCCCGGAGGAGGGCTCCTCACCCTTCCTTTTCTCCTTACAGTTTCCTGCCCAGCGCTGAGCGCCCCACCTGACGGCAGGAAGTTCGGAAGCAAGTACTTGGTCGACCATGAAGTGCATTTTACCTGCAACCCCGGCTTCCGGCTGGTCGGGCCCAGCAGCGTGGTGTGCCTTCCCAATGGCACCTGGACAGGGGAGCAGCCCCGCTGCAGAGGTATGGCCCGCCCAACGCACTGCTGGGGTCTGCTGGGTAGGAAGGGTTGCTCCCTGGGACACTTTGCCTGATTCTTTAATCATTCCTGGACCACAGAACATGGGGAACTTGTCTGATCCATGACTTTGACTCCAGGCCTGGGCTGATCTCTGCATGAGTTTGCTAACCCTCACAACAAGGTTGTGTTCTTGCATAGAGGGAGATTGAGACCTTGTGGTAAGGTCACATAGCTGGGGACACTCTGACCCCAGAGTCTTTGTTCCTCAACACCTTCCTCTCCCCTGGATTCTGGCAACTGGGTCTTATTAGTTGAGGGCAAGAAGCCACCCGTGCTTGAGGAGGGGGACAAGAGGCAGGGCCTGCAGTGGTCACTCTGTTCTGGGGCTGCAGTCTGCTTATGAGCTGCAGGGGTTCCTCAGGATGGAGGGAATCCCTTGGGTGTTCTTTGTGTCTGTAGACAGGCTCAGGGAGAGCGCTTTGAGGTGTGGGGAGGCAGGACACGATTTTTTCTCTATGCTAGTTTGAAAACAGAACTTTATGATGTGGAGTGCCGGGTTTCAGTTCTCGCAACTAAAAGGCTCAGGGGTCATTCCAGTTGAACTGGGCTGACTGGGCTGCACAAAATAACCACACAAGAGACACAAATACCTTTTTCTTTGGGGGTCTCTGTGACGGCTCCTCTGACCTTAAGGGTCCTCAGGAAGAGAGAGAGCGAGACCACGCGCTGACCCCTTTTATTGAGGAGAAGCTATTCAAATGAGGCAAGAGGTCAGGTTTCAGGGGGCTGAGTCTATCTTCATGATGTCCACTGTCAGCAGGTTGACTGACAACTGGGTAGGCCAATCAGGGAAATTCCTCTGAGACCAGAAGTGTCAAGGCAGCTGCAGTCCACTAACTTGGGAGAGGCCGTGTCCAGCAGCTGCTGAGAGATGGGTAGTGACCTACGGGTACTTCACTGCAGCCACCACAGGGTGATCACCAAGCCCAGTTTATACTTAGATGAAAAATACCCATCTCCAGCCCATTCTAGGACTGGCCTCCTTGCTCCCTATGCCAACCCTTCCCAAATGTTAGTGTACGTGGCCCTGGTACAAGTCCAGGTGGGCTGCACCATGTGGTCCTCTGGTGGGGAAGGACAAATGGCCAGGAAGGAGGCTGCAGAGACAGAGCTCAGGATGAGTCTGGAATGAGCTGGGGAGTTGAAGATCAAGAATCAGGAGAGCACCACGTGGGACCATGGAAGAGGTCAGCAGACTCACCGCCATGGTTGGCAGGCAGGACCGTCCACTCCACACAATGATCTTCCAGGGAGAGTCTGACCTTCCGGGCTCTGACTTCGGTGAGGGGCTACTTAGCTCTCCCAAGACATCAGGCAAGAGGCAGTGAGTCTGTGCGGATGTCCCCCCTGGCCAGTGGGTACGAACCCTCTGTCTAGTGTAGCTTGCTTGTGACTGGCACCACACTGGCTGGTTAGGGCCCCAAATCCATCCATGCTCTGAAACTCTCAGGTTCTTCTCTGCTTCTAGTCATAGCAGGAACAAATACAGGGTGTTTCTCAAAGTTGAGTTAATATCAGTAATAACTAGAGAATATACTAAAAGTGACGATTTCCTTGGTCTCATCTTTAAAGACTCCAGCTGGGCGGGTCTTTGGAGGCCTCAGTGCCTGCTTCCCGTGAGCTGTCTGGGTGGCTCTGGGTGGCTCTGGAGCACACTGCACAGAGTCATGGAGGAGGTCCTGCTCAGCATGGGGAGTCCTCCCTCATGACAAGAGCACCAAGGTGGAAGAATCGGGCCGACAGGCCCAGGATCCCTGGAAGACACCCTCGTCAAGTCACAGAAACGGAGCTCAGCTGGGGGGGCGCCGGGGGTCCCACCTCTGTCACACAGTTCTTTTCCATGCCTGGGCTCCTGGTCCCGACGTTTGTAGCTCTCTGCCCGAACACATCCTCCCAGGTCTCTTCTCCGATCCACTCCTCTTGTCATCTGAATCACACGATGCTCACCATAAATGCACGCTCTCGTCAAGGACAGAGAATATGGGTGGTACCCAAAGAGTGAGCCAAAAGCACCAGGCCATAGAATGCCTCTGACTGCACCTCAGATTAGAAATGTGAGCGGGCGTTGTGGTGCACACCTGTCATACCAGCTCAGGAGGCTGAGGCAGGAGGATCACGAGTTCAAAGCCAGACTCAGCAACTTAGCAAGGACCTAAGCAACTTAGCAAGACCCTGTCTCTAAATTAAAAATAAGAAGGCTGGGGATGTGGCTCAGTGGTCAAGCACCCCTGGGCTCAATCCCTGGTACAAAAAAAAAAAAAAAAGATTAGAAATGTGGGGAGTTTGTATGGAGCCTGTCAAGAAATGAGCATCCTGGGCAGATCCAGAGAGGGCGACAGGACGGGTCCAGGGGCACCTGTGTGTGTGTGTGTGTGTGTGTGTGTGTGTGTCTGGCCAGTGAGGCCCCAGTCTCCCTCCCACAGACTCCAGGTGGAGGCCAGGCTCTGTATCTTCCACTGGAGGCCCCCAAAGAGAGGCAGTGGCCCCCTGGCCCTTGGGGTCAGGCTGACACCAGTGTTCACACCTCTTGGCTCTCTGCCCACCTCTCCATGGCCTAGTGATGGCCCACTCTTGGAGCGGGCTGGTGGCAATGATGGAGCTGGACCACAGGTCCACACAGCAGACCAAGCTCCATGGCATTTGTGAGCAGTTGTTCCAGCCCCAGTCCTGGAAACTGGTCACCTGAGAACAGAATGGCTGGCGGAGGGCACAACCAGGCTGAGGTTACAGAGCCATGGAAATAGGTCCTGTCCCCTGACATCTGCACAGTCTGGACCCTATGGACAAACAGAAGCCCTCAGATAGTCTACATAACAAGGCAGCCCCACAGGAAGCCAAAGTCCTCTTGAATCCCCCCAAACAAGGCTGCGATTCTCCTCAGGCAAAGCACCTCCCTCTTAGAGCGGTGGGCGAGGGGCTCTTACATTGATGAGGGCAAGGGTTCAAGTTCCCATATGCTGCCAGCAGGTCAGCAGGCAGACCTCTTCTTCCTGCGCAGATGACTTGGACCTGGACTGAAACCCGGCTTAGGAAATTCATAAAAAGCACATAGCCTGAGGGCTTTGAAAATCATCTTTACCTAACTAAGATATGCAAATGTGTGTTGGGGAAAGTGGATGCATACTAAAAGCTATAAATAAGCAAAGAACAATCACCTAGCACTCAGAGAAAAATGGAGTGCACCTTTACAATCCGTGTGTCTACCTAGAACTCTTCCATAGACCCGTGGAGGGCATGAGCAGGGAACGGCATTACTGAAAAGTCCATCACTCCCACCTGGTGAAACATAGGAGAGCTTGCGGCTGTGAAACTGGGGGACTCTTTGTTCCCATTCCCAGAATCCTGCTGGGCCATCCCTCCCCTTGACAACACCCTGAATTTCACTCCTGTTTAAAGGTTGTTCCACCTTGACGCTGGCTAATGGGGACAGAGGGAGTGGGCAAGAGGACAGAGGCCTCCGCCTGGAACAGCTGTCTAACACTGCAGCTTTGCACACTAAATCAGTATCTCGGGTGGAGCATGGCCGAGTGCCAGGCCCGCTCCTCACAGAGGGCAGGGTTGCTGAGGAGAGGAGCCAGGGCAGCAGTCAGCCCCACGGTGACTCTTGCAGCTCTTGCAGGTGGAGAGGGCAGTCAGGTCAGGTGGGAATAGAGAGCTCTGGAGGAGTCCCGTGACAAAGGGAGTTGGCTCATGATTGCCTTTTGTTTTAGAGCTGGAGTCACATCTGTGTTTGGGAATCCCTTCTCTCCTAGGTACCAGCGAATGCTCCAGTCAGCCTTGTCAAAACGGCGGAACGTGTGTCGAAGGTGTAGGCCAGCACAGGTGCATCTGTCCCCCAGGGAGGACTGGGAGTCGCTGTCAGCATCAGGCTCAGACTGGTATGTAGCTGCTGCCGGCTGGTGGCAATGCTCCACTGCAGGGAGGTGAGGACCTTCGTCACTGTCACCAAACACAGAGGTGTCGGGAGCTCAGTGCCCCTCAGTGGAGTGTGTCTGTCCTCTCTGGTGGATATCCTCCCATCCCTAAGGTGGTCACTTGGACGGAACCTAGCTCTTCCATGCAACCCAGTAGCTCGGCCCGTGGGGATGTGGCTGAGAAGCCCCACTGTGGCCCTCTGCTCCATCTGCATCTCAGCCAGCAGAAGCCTTTCCTCCAACCTTCACGTGCTACAAGATGGGCAGTTGCTGATGCAGTTCAAAGCATTTGAAAATCTCAACAGCCAGACATTTGAGTAGTGAGTCCCAGTATATTCCTAGCAGAGGTTTAATGGACCACACGGTGGCTCGTTTTGCACACGGCAAGAAAACCTCATAACAAGGGGCCTGTGGAGAATGGACAGGGTTCCCATGCTCTGCTCAATCAAGACTTCTATTAAAAAACAAAAAAAAGAAAGAAAAAAAATTCCAACCCAAAGATGTTCTTTTCCTTTGCCAGAAAAGCCTAGTGGGGTCTCTGTGGGGGAAGCGCACTGGTGGATGGTGTCCAGTCAGTACTCGACCCAGCCCAAAGTCAGGTTTGAATAGTGCCCCCGGGGATTTGCCTCTCACTGTGCCTGGACTAGGCTAGTGAGTCAGCCTGCTGGGTGCTTCCTCTAGGGGAGCCCAGGGCCCCCGTAGCTCCTGTCCTGGGGCCGATTTCTGAGGACGGGGCAGAGGCTTCTTGGCAGCCCCACTGCCTCTGTTTACAAACAAGGGGAGAAGAAACGGCCCCCACCCCAGACTTGGTCACTGAATTTTCTACCCATCCACCTCATGTTGAGATTTCTTTTGCTGTAGGACCTTCAGGACACTGTCCCTCGGGTCCAATGGTCACTATGAAATATCTGTATGACCAGAATCCTCACCATGTTAAGGCTCTTAAAGCAGGAGACAGAAATGTTATTCACCAGTTGGTGGTCCAGATTCACCAGCTGGCGGGCCAAGGGGGAGGCTGCAAGTCTAACCTTCTAGAACCTCCTGGGGTTTGAGTCCACCCTTTATAGTCCAAAACCACATTAAAACATAAGTGGCTGTTGCTACGATTCAAAACCATGAGATCTAAAATCATAAGCAGAAAAGGGAGTGGGCCCAAACCTCCCTAGTTGAGTACAAATTAGGGAATGGTTACTAATGTGTAGACAATCAATCTCTTTCAGGGTACATAGACCAAATTTAAAAACCGGGAACCAAAGGCAGAGGACTTTTACATTATATAAGAATTGTCATTTTGTGTTGCCAAACATGCTTTGCTAAGCAACCGCTGATGGGCACAGAGGCAGGGCTTTCCCTGGGAGAAGCATTTCTTACATGACGTGGAGTCTCAGGGCAAAATGGAGTCTGTTTGATTATTGCCCAAGTAGCCTGGCCCATAACAACCAGGAAGGTGAAAGCAGTCCTTAGTAGGTACATCTATCTAATGCCAGCTCTTGTTCTTACAGTGTCTGTGAAAAGCCAGCAGACACCTGAGCTCTTGCTCACCTGCCCGGAGCTAGAACCTTCTTTTCCTTCCCCTCAGGGGGCCTGTGTCCTTGCAGCTGGGGTGGGGGAGCCTGTCTCCAAATGTGTGTGTGTGGTATTTTTTTTTTTTTTTTTTTAAGACAGGTCTTACTATATTGCCAGCTGGCCTTGAACTCCTGGGCTCAAGTGAGCCTAGCCTCTTGTCTGACTCAGCCTCCCAAGTAGCCAGAACTACAGGCATGTCCCCCAATTTCTTTTTTAAAAAATCAATTCATCTTATTTTAATTGTGATAAAATATAAATGACATTTGCCATTTTAATTGCCACATTCACACCCTATTGCTTGCTACACCAACCAGCCATCTCCAGGGTGCTTTCATCTGCTAGACTTGGAATTCTGTCAGATTCCCCGTACCTCGTTCCTGCCACCAGCCCTGCCCACCTCGTCTGCCCCATGGACTGGACAGCAGGTGCCCCCTGTGAGTGGAGTCACAGGGGACTGTTGTCCTCCTGTGCCTACCAGGAGTCCTCCCACTGATTCCTCTCCAATTTCCCTTAACCACATAAGAGCTCCAAATCCTTTGAAAACTTTGTAAAAATAGTTAGAAAACTAGTTTCTGTTCTTGGTAACACACACACCCACACACCCCCCAAAAAATAGAGACCCAAAGTTTTAAACTCAAGGGATCGCTGTTGTCCCTGGAGTTCAAGTGTTTTTTAAAAGGAAGGGAGCAAAAATTTGCTCCCCAAATGTAGGCTCTCGCTTCACTCATTGTTTCTTTTGCTGAGAAGAAGCTTGAATGTTCTCTCTTGTAAGTGGATGCTGATCCATAATGGGGGGGACATGGGGAAAATGGAATAGCTTTGATGGGACAAAGGGTAGGGAGGTGGAGGGAGGAGCATGGGGCAGGAAAGGTAGTGGAATGAGATGGACATCATTACCCTAAGGTACATGGATGTCTGCACATACCTTGCGTCGCTATGTTGTGCACAACTAGAGAAATGAGAAGTTGTGCTGCAGTTTTGTACACTGGATCAAAATGCATTCTGCTGTCATACCTAATTTTAAATACATTGATTAAAAAATAAAAAGCGCTGGGGATGTTAAGAAAATAAAATAAAAGGAAGGGGGACTTCGCGCCCTGGCGGGCCTTGGCGGGGACCGTCCGGTGGCCTGCGTCTCCACGCGACATCTCACTCGTGCGCCCCAGGTCCTCGCGGCTTGGGCGCCCTGCCGGGGTCCTGGGGACCTGCGCATCTTCCTTCTCCACTCCAGGGGCAGCGCTTGGGAAGGGCCGCGCGGGGCTCCCCAGGGCTGGGCCCCCCGCAGGTGCACCCGGCCGGCACTGAGGAGTCCAGTCTTCTCCCCGCAGCGGCCCAAGAGGACGAGGACGAGGGCGACGTGGCCGGTGATCCTGCCTTCAGCCGCGCGCCGCGCTGTGCGCAGGTGGAGCGGGCGCAGCACTGCAGCTGCGAGGCCGGATTCCACCTGAGCGCCGCGGCCGGCCGCAGTGTCTGCCAGGGTAGGCGCGGGCTCGCGGGGACCCGGGGACAAGCGGGGGGAGTGGCGGGGCTCCCACCGCAGCCTGCCCACCTGCAGGGAGTCCGCCCCGCCTCAGGCACACGGGAAAAGAGCGGGTGGGGCGGAGGACGCCTCCTGGGCGTGGTCTCAGAAAGTCCCGCCCACTTTGCGGTTTTGATGTTAAATAAATGGATGTAGCTGCTGGGTAGACCCTGTGGGTGCTTGTCCGAAAGCCAGCTTAGAGAAAGCATCGGGGCGGGGTGGGGATCCCAGGCGCCTCCCCTTGTCGGATCCCGGCCCCGCCTACGTGCCCAAGCCACGCCCCTTCGTGGCTTGAAGAGCTATGAGCCCTGTTATCCCATCCATCCTGGTTAGTGTCACATGGGCAGGTGGCAACAAAGGACAAGAATCTCTGTGCTGGTAGACGGGGCCCTGGAGCTGGACACGGGTCTGGTTTCGTTCCCTAGTCCTCTCTGGGCTTAGCTTTACTGACCAATCCATCTTTGCTAACCGCACCTGATTACTGAAGTTCCTTCCCCAAACCACTCAAGCCACCAGTTCAAATCTGAGATTTGGTCATCTGGTGCTAACAGGCTCATTTCACAGCAGCAGAAAGGAGACCCTTGTATTCCATTCCCAAAGATGAGGGGAGTGGAGATGGGGCTGTGACTCTTGGGGGTGTGAGGGGTGAGGAGTGATTTGCCACCCAGCAGGGTCTCCCCAGTTAGTCTGCAGCCTTAGAGACGCTGTCCAGGAACTGGCACGTTGGGTGGCTCCCTCTCCTTCCAGCCCCGGGCTCTGGAGAGGGGGGAGGTGGCCTGCTCCTCTTCCAGGTGCTCTACTGCACCTCAGGCTCAGCAGCTACCCTAAGTCCAGCAATAGCCTCAACTGCTAGAGAATGGGGGCACCCTAGTTGGTGGCTGGATGACACCGACTTCGTTGCTCCTGAAGTCAGCGGCCTTTCTCTCCTCAGATGTGAACGAGTGTGAACTCTATGGGCAGGAGGGGCGGCCCCGGCTCTGCATGCATGCCTGCGTGAACACCCCGGGCTCCTACCGCTGCATCTGTCCCAGTGGATACCACACCCTGACTGATGGGAAGACCTGTGAGGGTGAGTGAGCTGCAGCAGGGGCAAGTGGCCCTGGGTCTGGACAGTACCATCTGCACCTGGTCACCAGCTGCTGCCGCCACTCATCCTAGCCCCGACCTCACAATCAGGAGTCTCCGTTAGGGGAGTCAGTGTCTCAGGTCTATTTGATCTTTAAACACAGCAACAAAAGGGCCTCTCAAAACCAGACCATGCCATCTAAATAGGAAATGAGTTGCTTAACCTGTGGGAGTGACTGTTTTCAAGGTCAGATCATTTCCACCCAGCTGGGGCTGGACCCAGAGGCAGTCGGCCACTTCTGATGTACAACCTGGAGAAGCCCATCAGATTCCAAGGCCCTGTATGGGCATCTGCAAGGCCACCCTTAAAAGGGATGATACCTTACAGTCACTGTGCCTCCATGTGGCCAGATACACAATGCTGGCCATGTCCATGGCTAGCTGGGGGCAACAGGAAGGCGGAAGGCCCAGGGACTGGCAAGAGTGAGGCCTGCCACTATCCTTGGGCTTGAGCACTGAGGAGAGGATGGGGTTTATCAGAGCCTCCTAGATGGCTGGGGGGATGCAGATGGCTGGGGCAAGGTGCAGATAGCTGGGGGGCTGGTGGCCACCACCAGATCTGGCCCCAGGCAGGGACCCTTCAGAGGAGCACACACCCACCGTCCTGCCTCCAATCTGCCAGCCCAGCTGAGAGTCCAGAGGGCTGAGAGTCCAGAGAGAGCCCAGGCCAGTGAGCCTCCTAGAACAGAGGGGGTTGGATGGGCACAGGTAAGAAGGACATGACTGGCTTAGGTTCTACCCCGTGCTGAATCCTGTCCCTCAGCAGTGGCCCCCTGGGGGACTGGGTTGAGCTTTCTAAGGCTGGTTCCAGGAATGGTGACAAGGGGCCTTCATGGACAAGTGGGAGTGGGAGGCACCCAGGGGGCAGGGGAAGATGTATAAGTGGGGGTGGCTGGCGGAATGGAGAGGCTGAGAGCTCTTGCAACAGTCACTGTTGTCACCAGCCCCAGGGACAGGGACATACTAACAGCAGGCCTCCTGTGACCCCACCTCTCAAGTGTTGACATTAATAAACAAGAATAGTCCAGTTCTCCACAGCAGCTCATAGTCAGAGCATGGTAGTCCCCGTCATCCATGGAGGGTACGTTCCAAGACCCCCAGTGAATGCCTGCAGCCAAAGCTGGTACCCAGTCCTGTGTACGTACCTATGTTCAGTGCAACTTATAAATTAGGCACAGTAGAAGATTAACAGTGAAAACTAATATTAGAGCAATTATTAAAATACACTCCAATAAAATTTATCTATAACATGAATTATTTCTAGAGTTTTCCATTTCATATTTTTGGACCGTGGTTGACCACTGTTAACTGTAACTGAAGAAAACAAAACTGTGGATAGGGAGGGACTGCTGTAGACAGCCCAGGCTCCTTGGGTGCCAGACCCTGAGCTCTGGTGCTGCAGCAGGCCTCTGGCGAGAACTGAGTCCACTGACGTAGAACCACCACACTCTGGCAGGACCCACAGCTCTGCTCCCCCCCCATGTACCCTCGTGGACACAGCACACTGAGGGCAGTGCTGCCCACTAGGGCAGTGGCAGGGGCCTCCTCCATGGGCACACCTGGGCATGTTCAGGAAGAGGCAGCTCCCTGCTAATCTCTCTTGGGGGTCCCTTGCAGGGCTCAGGGGGTCCGCCTCTGGGACTGAAGTAGCAGGAGCCATCCAAGGAACTGCCCCCCAGCCTATCCCACAGTTCATGGAGGCCCACAGAGGACTGCTTGACGTGGGGAGAGATGGTCTCCAGCGGGGGGACTCCCTGGGTGCTTGGAAGGAGGGCAGAGCAGGGGGTGTCTGCATCTGGCCGGGAAAGAGCCCAGGAGGAAGGTTTTTCTGGAGATTTGAACCTCAGCATGCAAACACCAACACAGAGGCCTTTGGGCTGAGAGGGAGGGAAGGAGGACAGATCCTGGGGAGCGTGCTCCCCAGCATGGTAGCACTTCTGCAGGCCCCTGGTCTAGATGGCTGGGGGTGGTTCCTGCCTGAAGATAAGTGCCATTTGAAAGTCCATCTTGTGTGGAGTGCTGCACTCAGAGCCTGTTGGGACCGCTCCTGTGGTTTGGTGATGGAGGGAAAGTCAGGGGCGGGTGGATGTTTACCCTGAGTTCCTATCCTGTATTTCAGATGTTGATGAGTGTGCAGGTCCACAGCCCGTGTGCCCGCAGGGGACCACATGCATCAACACTGGGGGAGGCTTCCAGTGCGTCAGCCCTGAGTGCCCCGAAGGCAGCCACAACGTGAGCTATGTGAAGACTTCTCCCTTGTGAGTACAGCCAGGGCCACCCACAGCTCTTTGCACCCAGGCTCCCACCTGTACTTGTGGCAGGGCTGGACGCCTCCAGGCCTTGGGGGAGGGAGCAGCTGTGTCACAGGAAGGATGAGGGCCAGGGAGCAGGGCCACCAGCTTCTCTGAGCTTCCATTTCCCTTTAGGGGTTTGCATTTAACACTTTGCCATAAGAACCCAGCTTGTCACGGGACATTAATGCACCAAGGGCTCCCCCGCCACAGATGATGGTGGCACTGCAGCCACCAGTGGGCATGGCCAGGGAGGGCAACCAGACAGAAGCAGCTGCTGCTGATGTTACCTTGAATCCCACAGCAGCCAGAGGCAGGTACACATGACACGATTTGGAAGATGGTCATTTTCTCAATTCCACGTAGCTGGTAACTAATGGACCGAGTCATGCTGTGATTCCCTGCACTTTGTGTTAACATCATCTGCTTTTCCAACAGTGCTAGAAGGTTCAACACCCAGTATGCTCCACACTTAAACAGTAGAATTGCCTTTTTATGGGAGATGGACATTTACAGGGAATAACTATCCCTAGCACAAAGCCCCCACACTTCTCAAAAAGTTCCTGAGAGCCCTCACACTATCTTTAAGATGCAGAGAAGTGACTTCATAAGCTTAGTTATTTAAGTTGCTCTTTGGATCAAAGCAGAAATTAGACGCAGCAGGAAAATGTGTAGCACCTAAGAGTGACAGTTATAAAAGAGAATGAGGACTCTAGAACCTTCCTAAAGGAAGGGACCTGTCTGTTGTGGCCTCCAGGGACATGAGATTAATAGGTGGGTGTGATATTTGATCTGCAAAATCATGATGGTCAGAATCACCAGACACTAAGTTTTATTTGTCTTTTGTGTTTGATAAGATAGAGAAATACCGAAAACCTTTCCATGGGACCCTGATTCTAAGTGGGTAAGGAAGACAGGGTTTCCTGCTTTAAGAATAAATGTCGTTGTATCTGGAAAGTTCGTGTGTGCTGCCCCACACTGCAGCTGACTGTGGGGGTCCCTCCATGACAGGGGGAGGTCTTCCCACCTGCAGAAAGGGGACCTGGTTTGAATTCCAGTGTTGCTATCATTATGAATCTTCCCAGGCTTTGTTTTTCTTTAAAAACTATAATAATAGCACTTCAATATAGACGTGTATACACACACACACACACACCCCCCACATGAGTCAGCAGGGCTCCCAGGACTGGAATAGATGCAGAGTCCCTTCCCTGGACATGCCTGACATCAGCCACATTCTCTTGCCTGTAGCTCCGGAGCTCCTGGGTGAGGGACTCAGGGCTGGGGCAGGCCCCCTGGTGATTTTTGCAAGCTGGCAGGTGGGGGGGGGGGCCTCTAGAGCTTCCCCAAGTCTGACTGCGTCCATCTTACCTCTGCTCCAGCCAGTGTGAGCGAAACCCCTGTCCCATGGACAGCAGGCCCTGCCGCAGCATGCCCAAGACCATCTCCTTCCATTACCTCTCTCTGCCCTCCAACCTGAAGACGCCCATCACGCTCTTCCGCATGGCCACGGCCTCGGCCCCCGGCCGACCTGGGCCCAACAGCCTGCGGTTTGGGATCGTGGGTGGGAACAGCCGTGGCCACTTTGTGATGCAGCGCTCAGACCGACAGACGGGGGAGCTGATCCTCGTCCAGACCCTGGAGGGGCCGCAGACGCTGGAGGTGGACGTTGACATGTCAGAATACCTTGACCGCTCCTTCCAGGCCAACCATGTGTCCAAGGTCACCATCTTTGTGTCCCCCTATGACTTCTAAGGGTGCCTGGGGGTGGGGAGCGGGGGTGGAGATATGGGCTGATTCCTCTTCCCCAAGGACTCAACTGTGGGCACTGACTGTGACAGACGTCTCTCCCCTCTACCTTGCCCCTGCCCTGTCACCCAGGCTCAGGAGGGTGACCACAAAACTCAAACTGCCACATCCCATTTTTGTCCTGCTTTAAGGCTCTTCCCTTAGATGATGCAGTTTCTCAGATCTGTCTTGTTTTGTTTTTCATTTTTTTTTTTTAAGAGGCTGGGCAGCTTTTCAAAATGCTGCGTGAATGGCATTGAGTTTGTACCATCTGGGGAGGGGAACGCTCATGGCGTGTGTCCCAGATGGTGGTCAACCATTCTGCATTATTACAGACCTTGCTAGGAACAAAGTGCGTCTAGCCATGCTGAGGGCCCAGTCGTGCCCTGTGCACTTGGCGGAGGTAGTTTCCTCCCACCCCAGCCTTATGGTATCCCTCTCCCTTCTGTGGCACGCCTGCCAGCCTTTGTACCCGAGAGCCATGGGAGGGCCTGGACCTTGATCCTTCCAGACCAAGGAACTGATGTTAAAGCTGGATTCTGCCTGATTACTTTCCTCTTGAGAAATCACGTCTCAAAAACACAGCCTGGTGTCAGAGCTGAGGAAATAAAATCTATCGCTCCTCCCTGCCCCTCTGACTTCTCGCTGAGCACGCTGAGCACAAGACAGCCCAGTTCCTTCTGGGAGGGGACAGTGGGCTCTCTTCCTGCCTGGGGGTTGGACACACTGGAATAAATGAATAAGAGAGAAAGCACAGGGTAATCCTTGGGTTGGGTCCACCAGTCTCATTTGTCTTGGCTGCATGAGTGACTGGAAGGACATTGGGCCCGGACAGTTTAGGAAAATGCTCACATCGACTGGATTCCGTGGCTTCCTACTTCTGGCAGAAGAACCGAGAGGTGAGACCCTCCAGACGACCGAAGCAGGAAGATTGGCCAGGACTGAGAAGGGGTGGGGAGGGGCTGGGCCTGGGCGAAAGGTCCATACCCGAGCTCCTGGTAGTCCACTGGTGAGTTTCTCTCATACATATTTTATTTAAAAACTGACCTGGGCATGGTGGGCATGCCTGTAATCCTCCTACAGACTCAGTGAACTCACCGAGATTGAGGCAGGAGGGTTGAAAGTTCAAGGTCAGCCTCGGCTATTTACTGAGATCCTGCCTCAAAAAAGAAAAGATAAGAGCTGGAAGTATTTTATAGAATTGGAAGAAAAAAGCAAAAATTCAAAATGGCAGCTGGGATTATAACTCACTGGTTGGGCACCCCTGGGTTTAACCCCCAGTACTGCAAAAAAGAGAGAGGGGTGGTGAAACGGCGCCAGAGGAAGTGTGTCCTTAGTTTGCTAACCAAGCTTCTTATGAAGGTGGTTTCTGGCATGGTCTGTCCTTGTTCTCTTTGTGGGACAAAAAAATGAGACATGGTCAAGAGTTGCTTTTGAAATTTTCCTTCTCCCATGGGCTCAGCAATTTAGCTGCTGTCTAACGGCAGAACAGGGATCTGAAAACCTGCTTTTCTGGGTTGATACAAGACTTACTCATCATCATCCACAGCCCTGTACTTCCAATGGTGATGTCAGGGTCCGAAGCCCACACCCCAACCAACCAGCTGTGCAGAATCCAGGCAAGAGAGCCCAAGAGCCCGCCACGCGCCTGCAAGTGAGAGCACTGTGCCGCTCCTTCCTCCGCCAGGGGTGGGGTAGCTGGGAGGGACAAGCCTTTCACCTCCCAGCACACAGGGAGTGGTCTGGGGGTCCACTGAGCAGGTGCCCCCCTAAACCAGTACATGACTAGTTTGACGCCAGCCAGACCCAATGTAAAGCAACATGTTCATCACCAAGATGGGCCTTCATCAAACCTGCTGCCCATTTATGAAATCACATGCTAAGCCCCAGACTCCGTAGCACCCAAATATGAATGCCTGACTGCTTGGGGCTCGTGGATAATAGCTGGGACTTTCCCTCAGGCAATGTCTTGTTCTTCGCGCTGGGCTAGTCAGCTTTTCATTACTGTAACAAAATCAAGTGGTAAGCAGAAAGGGATTATTTTGGCTCATTTTTGGTTTTTTGGCTTATTTTGGTTTTGGAGGTTTTAGTCCAGATCACTCCATTGTTCTGGGCCTGTGGCGATCGAGGCAGCAAACCATGGCAATAGCGCATGTCACAGCAGAGCCAGGAATCAAGAAGGGCAGGGGACCAGGGCCCTCATCCTCTTCCAGGGCATGTCCCCAGTGATGTACAACCTCCTCATTAGGTCCTGCATCTTTAGCTTCCACCAACTCCCAATAGAGTGCCAAGTTTGGGACCAAGTCTTGAGCACATGGACTTTGAGGACAGGCAGATCCAAACTGCAGCAGCACACCTCTCCTCACTCTCCCCAGTGGAAACCTACCGCTCCATCCTCCCTGGCTTCAGTCCAGGCCGGCCAGGGTAGCCAGCCATTAACAGGTGTTAATTTTCACCTCTTTCCTGCTGGTAAGTTTCATATGCTCTGGGGCATCCTTTAAAACATTTACATAAACTTGCAAACACATAAAAAAGCAGAGAGAGTAGTATAATGCATGCCATGTGTCAATCACCAGCTTTGACAGTCAACGCGTGACCTCTCACCCCAACTCGGGACGATTTTGAAGTATGATCCTAGACATCAGTTCATTTCATCTGTAGTTTTCAGCACATATCTCTGAAAGATAAGGACTTTAAAAATAACCTCAATACCATTCATATCTAAAAAATGAATAACGGGGGCTGGGATATAGCTCAGTTGGTAGAGAACTTGCCTCGCATGCGCAAGGCCCTGGGGGTTCTAATCCCCAGCACCAAACAAAAAAATAAATAAATAAAAAATAATGGTTGCTCCACCCCTTCAAATAATCATTCTTCACATTTCCGAGTGATTCAGGTTGTTTTTTCTTTGCTTGAATTAGGTGTCCTTCAGTCTGTAGCAGGGTTCTCACACTGCAGCATGGATAGTTAGAGAGGAGACCACTGGATTGTCCCTTCTGTAGACTCCTCAGTCTGGGTTTTCTGGAATGTGTCTTACAGTGTCTTTTAACATGTTCTCTGTTTTGTATAAACCAGTGGTTATACCTAGAGATCTAACTAGATCCAAGTGAGCTTAGATGTGTCAAACCCATTTCATTGGTGGCAACAGGTCCTTCCAGCAGGAGGCACCCACTGTCCCTCTTTCTGATGTCATCAGCCTTAAGAATTATTGCGCAGCCCTTACTTTAGGGTCCAGTGATGTTCTAGTGCTACTTTCCTCATTTATTAGCTGACATGATTTGTGAGGAGGGACTTCCTTTCACCAATTCTGTGGTTACCCTGAGATATGATTTGTATGAGAAGGGCAGGACAAACTTTTGATCTCCCCTTTATTTTCCAATTTTCAAAACGAGGTGATTCCCCAGCATCTTTGCAAGGGGACCAGGGCAGCTGTCTTCTTAAGTCACCGTGAATTCGTGTGCTCAGAGCTCGGCTGCTGTGGTCCTTCCTGTTGCCCATATTGTCCCATCTTCTGCTCTGAAGAGCTGCTCTAAGTTGGCTGATTCCTTTTGACAGGACCCTACTCGTCTTGCTTGTTTCACAGTTATTTTGTAGGAAAAGATGTTTCCAGCACATATCCCGTATTTCCTGTCTGGGCCCTGAAATCAGCCACTGCTTTCCACAAATCCCTGGTTCCTTCTGGAAGGGAATGGGAGACAGAGGTCAAGATCTTTGTTCTGGTGCAGGTCTTTTGGCTTCACTGTGTACAGCTGAGAAATATATTTTATTAGTACTTTTGAAAGACAAAACACTATGTAAGTTAATGCTGATTCTTCCAATTCAATTCACAACTGTTTTTTTTAATACAACAAAACCTTTCAATATCACCAAAATAATTTGTAAATTTAAAAAAATCTTCTGAATGACAATGTCATCAATGTCATCCTGCAAACATGATTACTGAAGACAGTTAAAATGCTTCTTTTGTGATTTTTTTTTTTTAGCTGTAGTTGTACACAATACCTTTGTTTTATTTATTTATTTTTATGTGGTACTGAGGATCGAATCCAAGGCTTCACACATGCTAGGCAAGCACTCTACCACTGAGCCACAGCCTCGGCCCCTCAACTTGCTGTTTTTATATCACTTGGGATAGTTCCCCTCTCTGTGGTTATGTCCCAAATTACAATCAGGATAGTTTCACTTCATTTTGCTGAATAATTTTAGAAATGGCTTGTAATTTTAATTTTGTCTTATAATTAAGCAAGCTGTTACATTGTTCCAAGGTCAAGTCCACAAAATAAGGAGCATCCAGAGAAGTCTGCCTTCTAACTGAGCCCCTTCCATCCATTTCCTCTTCTTGCTGTAAATAATTTCCCCATATACACGTCTATTTTAAAGTGTATACATAGACAAATGATAAATGTCAGCATATATTTTACATTCTCCTTGATCTTGTTTTTTTTTATTTTTAACTTTTTGGCTGGGGGCTCAAGTGTCCCTCTTCATAGAGGCCACCCCACCCACCCTTGCCAATGCTGCCCACCCCCTCCAATCTCTCTTAATTACCTTACCCTGTCTCATTTTCTTTGAAGGTACTTTTCACTATCTAAAATTATCATAAACACTTTTTCCCAATATCTTGGACCCTGGTGTCACCCAACTAGTATCCGATTCCATTTCCCACCTTCTCAAAGGAAGTCTGATTGGCTAAGGCCCCTCTCGAGCTTACCCTCAAATTCACATGTTGAAGTCTTATTCCCCGGTGCCTCGGAGTGTTCCTGTGTGTGGAGACAGGGTCTTTAAAGAGTAATTAAGATAAGGCATTTAGGGTGGGCACTAATCCAAAATGTCTGGTGCCCATGTAAGAAGGGGTTAGGACATAAACACACAGGGAAGACCACAGAGAGACGGAGAAGACCGCCATCTGTGAGCCAAGGAGAAGCCTCAGGGGAAACTAGCCCTGCCAACCCCTTGATCTTAGACGTCTAGGGCCCGGCATTGTGAGAGAACCTATTTTCTGTTGTTTGTATCACCAGGTGTATGGTATTTGTTATGGCAGCTCTAGCTTACTGATACACTCCCCATTTCCATCCTGTATCCTAGGGGGAGGCAAC